TCTCCTTCTCTGGAGATCTTCAAAACCCGCTTGGATGCAGTCCTGTGCCATGTGCTCTAGGTGACCCTGCGTGTGCAGGGGGGTTGGACTAGATGACCTCTAGAGGTCCCTTCCAACCTTAAGCATTCTATGATTCTATGATGTACTTTGATAAACTCTACAGGTTGCTGGTCAAAAGAATACATTCCCACATACAGAATCAGCTTCCAGCTCTCCCTCAAGTCATATACAGGAACCTCCTCATTTCACATGCTTGATACTGGGCTAACTCCTTGCCCGTTCTGGGGAAAGGCACAGTATCTCTCTCTGGGTTTGCTGCACCTTGTATTTCATTAGTGCTGCACGTACTGCTGGAGAACAGGGATACTAAAAGTCTAAAAGCATCTAGAAAAAAATATGGGGAATTACTTGCAACCCAGAAAGTCACTAAAAATCTGGGAGCAAGTTTGGAAGAAAGGACAAACAAACCAATGACAAAGAAAACCTTGGAGGAGAAAGGAAAAGGGATATTGAATAGAGACAAGAGTTCTGAATCCAATCTTTGCAAAGAAACAAATCACTCAAATGTGAAATCTCTATTATTGAAGTACTTGTTTTTCAAAATTATATTCCTAGAAACAAAACAAAAAACAAGCAAACAAAAACAATCAACAACAAAATCCACAACGATAACTCAGTAAATTGAAGAGATAGTTGTGCTTAAGGACAGGATCACATGGCTGATGATAGCAACTTTTGTCTCTTTGCTATCATTTATTTTTTTTATTTTTTAAGTATATGAGCTGCTTTTCTTCAGGGGGAAGCCTGGAAGAACTTACGGTTGGACTTGATGATCCTGAAGGTCTTTTCCAACCATTATGATTCTATGATCTGAGATCTCATCAATGGCCATGGCAGCATCTTCTGAGACCCAGCCTCAGTTCTCCAGGGAAGAGCACTATGTAACGGTCATGGTCTCAACACAGAACACCAAGGTCTAGATGGATAATCAGGTGCAGCAGAACTTGCACCACTTTAACCAGTAGAAATAATCCTTAGCTTTATAACCAAGAGGATTCTGAGCAGGACAAGTTAAACCTCAGTATCTCTAGCTTAGGCAATGCTCTGTCACTGAAACGCTAAGGCAACTTGTAATAGTCACAGTTCAAGACGCTGTTAAACCAAGGTTCAGTAAATAAAAATATAATGTAATTAAAGGACTGGAATACACATCCCATAGTGAAGAAGATCTGGAAGTTCATTCTGTTTAATATGTAGAGGTTAAAGGCTTATCTGACGACAATTTACAAGCACCTATGCAGAAAATGGAATTTGGCAGTAGAGGGCTCTTCAATCCGTGTGACAAAAAAATAAGAGGATGCACGGGCTAGAAATTGAAGTTAGAGGAATCCACATTTTAAAATATGACTTATTTTTACCAAGAAGGTAATTTACCATTGAAATAATTTGCTACAGGTTATGATACGTTCTCTGCTACAGGCAAATTTTAAATTAAAACAGGATCTTCTTTTTCATAGCAGACAGGAA